CTTGCTAGTGCATTACAGAAGGGTACGTCTACATAGCAAAATGGAAGTTTGATTGCAGCATGTGCTAGCAAGGCTCAGCTAGCTAGTGAAAAGGTTGTAGCATGGGCTTTAGGATATGCCGGCAATAGAGTACATGCACAGAGTCAGCAGGTGATTTGCATGCCTCACTGCTGTTGCTAAGTTCTCGTTCTGCTGTACAGACAAAACTAGAGATGCAATAACTTGTTCTCCTCTTATTCAAGAGCTTTGATTGCAGTTTTCATTTTAAATAAATCACACACCTCCCAAGTCATTTTTCCTAACACTGCTGGAAGTTGAGATTTTAATTCACCTCAGCCTGGAATTTGACCTATGGGTTCTCAGCCCAGAGTCAAAAAGGTTTTTAAATGCAAAACTTTAGCTGTCAATTTAATTGGTTGTATTAAAAATTCAAGAATGGGCAAAAAAAAGTATTTTTCAAACATCGGACATTTTTTACCCAAGCTAATGGCCACGGTGTGAAGTAGGCAGTTTTGCGTACTTGTGTTAAAGCAGCCAAGGCCTTAGAGTTTGAGAAAATGTTGTGCAGTAGATCATGATTTCAGTGGAAATGTTGTCTTAAAGGTTGAAATTCACCTTTTCCCTCCGTGAACCCACCCACTTCAACCACAGACTGGATAAGAGACTGCAGCTAAACCTTTCCACAGCCAGAGGTAATAGTGACTACATCATCTCTCCTCTGCCTATGCAGAAGTTGATGGCTTGTAAGTTCTGTCATAGCCCATTCCCTAAGGCCATTCCCTGAAGCCTACTCCCATTGCAGATGGGAATCCTCCAGAGACCCTCCTGCCACCCCTGCATGGGGAATGCAAATGACAATGTGACCATTTGATCATGACTCTCTCCTTTGCAAAGTGACACTAGACTCTGTATCTCAGCCCTCTGCACTGCAATGCATTTTAATCTGAGGGGCATATTCCTTTCCTGAATTGGTCCACATTCTTGATTGGTTTGTCTCTCACAATTTCCAGTAGTATCAAAAGGGAGTGAGTGTAGAAATTGCAATGGTGAACTTTGTCCTCAACTGGAAGCCTTTTGGAGCCTTTACCATGCTTCCCCTTCACTGGGGCTTCATGTAGTAACAAGGTTCAGAGGTAAAAAAAACCCATGAATAGCTAGGAATAGTCAGGGAAAACCCAACAAAAATTTGCCACTCTGATGTTAAAGTCAGACTCACACCAATTCATACATATGATAGCATGGCTAAAGGATCTATGGATCTTCTCCAGTATTTGTGAGGAAGTACCTCTCCTTCCTTCTTTCAAGATGACCAGATATACTTCTACCTCTTAACCTGTTCTTTCATTTTCCTATGGAAATTACTACTACTACTATTACCCCCACCGCAGAATAAAAGCATGAGGCTTAATATGTGAACGCTTGAAAACTGATGCAAGAGCCTTGGGTTATACGTTGTCCATCAACATTAAGCAAAAACAGGACACTCCTATTACCATCCCAGGCTGGCAGGGAAACTAAATACACTGCCCCAAATAATTTCAGAACCTTCCCTTCTCCATGCCCACAAGGAAAATGGATGTACTGAAACCCAGAAGTTATTCTTTAGCTGTCTGCAGCTACGTGTCTCATTTCAAGCAGGCACCTCCTTGCAGCAGAGGAGAAACTGGCCATATTCAGAACTACTGGTTATCTACCATTTTCCCTCCATCCTTCATGGTATCAGTCTGGAGAGAGAGCTAGTAGCAGAGACTCCACAACCTTCACCAGAAACAGTTTGCTGCTCACCTTGGAAGTAAATGCCTGACTGGATTTGGAGGACCCTGGGGAGGCTTCTGGGATCCAAGGAATGGATGAATTTCTCTAGGGTACAGGCCATGGTCTGTAGCAAGGCAGCATGTGGGTTTGTTCTTTAAAAACCAGCAGTTCCAAGGAGAATCCCCATGGCAGCGCTCACAATTGCATAGGAACACAGTCCAGGACAGCTCTGAGATACTTTTCTCTGCTGGAGGAAAGGGGTGGGGAGGAGAGAAGAAGGGAGGAGCTTTTGCTGCTTCTGTGGCATGGCCACTTCCTCCCACCGCTGCAGCCCAAGGCTGAGGGCAGGGGTGGGAGGGAACTATAGAGTGAATGAACCAGAAGGACTGCCATTGCTGCATTTGTGCACGTGCCACTTAGGCAACAGGAAATGCTGTTTATATTGGGTGTCAGGGGTAACAAACTTCATGGGAAGGATGAGGACGTCCTGTATTATTCAGCCACAAATGTTTCGATATCTTAAAGAATGGAAATAATTCATCTGGCCTTGGGAAAAGTAGATGTTGAATGTCAAGCATATCTGAAGCAGAAAAAACGATTGCATTTACTTTTGGAGGACAGGAAAATAGTTTTGTATTTGCTCTTTTCAGAAACCACAGACCTTCCTCTGAGGAGATGAAATGAAACACTTGCATTTTGTTGCTTTTGCTACCTTTAGAACCCACGTGCACTTGAGAAGGTACAGACATAAAATACAGGCTTGTCTGGATCTTTGTTTTAAAACTATAGTCAGGCAGAATGGCTATGATTTTCAAAATAGTTTTTTTATGGCGGGATGGGGCGGCTACTGTGAAACACTTTAATTGGGATTGGATTTCATAAGGCAGGTGCCAGCACGTTCTGAAAAATCAGACAATGTCTCTTACAATGTCTCACGTTTGGCACCCAAAATCACTAGCCACTTTTGAGAACCCTGTGCCATTATTCATGTTATGCATGAACCTGAATCTGTTATTCTCCACATTATGGTATGCCACCGATTTCGGGATGCCACTGACATCCTGCTTAAAAGACAGGATGTCCTATAGTCTAAAAGTCTAAAATAGAACTAGGTCCTCGCACGCATGTTGCTAAAACTGTTGCATGCACTGCAGTGCCAACATTGCATTTTGCTAGTGTGTTAGAATAATGCATAAAGCTAGCTGTGCAGTCAGAAGAAGAGTATGACTCCCATCTACTGCAATACTTGGTGGTGTTTGTCTTTTCACTTTCACTAATAGTTTCTTAATTGCATTGCATATGTTCTCTATTATACAAGACAGGACATTTTGCCAAGTGTCCCCAGACTTCACAGAAGTAAAAGCCAGTTCTGGGTATATGGTATCTGGTTTATACCAGTGGTTGGTTGAAGGGATTCATAGAAACATAGATTGTAAGGCCGGAAGGGACTTTGGAAAATCATTGTGTCCAGCCCCCTGCACCAGGCAGGAATGATAACTGGGGGTCAGGTGACCCCAGAGAGGTGACAGTCCAGTCTCCTTTTGAAGATTTCCAGGGTAGGTGATTGCACCACTGCTGGAAGGAGCTTATTGCAGAGTCTGGACACCCTAGCTGTCAAAAAGTTTTTCCTAATGTTGAGCCTGAAACAGTCTTCCAGGAGTTTATGGCCATTACTACTGGCTATCTCCAAGGGCGCCCTGGTGAACAGTTGTTCACCGACACCTTGACGTACACCCCTAATGTAGCTGTAAGCTGCTATCAAGTCCCCTCTCAGCCTTCTCTTTTTCAGGCTGAAGAGTCCCAGATCCCTCAGCCTTTCGCCACATGGCTTGCCACACAAGTCTCTGATCATATGGATGTCCCCTTCTCTGGACTCTCTCAAGCGTGTCCACATCCTTGTTAAAGTGGGGCACCCAGAACTGGATGCAGTACTCCAGCTCCGGTCTCACCAATGCTGAGTAGAGTGGAAGAATCACGTCCCTAGTTTTGCTGGAGATGCATCTATTGATGCATGCCAGAGTATTATTTGCCCTATGGCTATGGCATTACACTGCTGGCTCGTATTCATGCTATGATAAAGGATAAGGGTCTTGTTCTGGGTAGGGAGTTATTTCAAAAGATGCAAGGGATGTTTTTTTGAACATCAAGGTAGTAGGGGCAGAGATCAATCATAACCAGTTTGTAACAGTGCAACGAAGAGATATGAACAATAGGACTTGGGTACTCGCAATGACAGCTTTTACTGCATAACTAGAAACAGGTGCTGGCATATCTAGATAGCACCACAAAAAATACTCACTTTCCCCTACTTTTTGCTACAAGGCACAAACAAAAAGAAAGCTATGAAAATTACATGCGTTTAGTTCTGTTTCAGTTTGGTCAGAAAGACATCTGAAAAGAGGCTGGATCATGCAAGTGGCTGAACAGCCTAGTTTCAATCCAACCAACTACATAAGGCACTGAAATAGTTTCACTAACTTCCATGAGAATTACTAAGAAGCAGCAAGTCCTTTGCAGTACTAAATCAAAGGCCTTGGCCCCTTTTGCACTGAGCTCATAGATCTCAACAGTCTTCCAAGATCAGAAGGGGCATGGAAAGTGGATTAATCCTCCTCGTGCTCTTAGACCATTGTTCCAGGTCTGACAACAGTGGAAGAAGCTTGTCCATATTGTACCAACTTTGTGGGTGAAACACAGAATATTTTCTTTAAAGGTTAGCTCCCACCATCACAGAATGCACTCATGTTTGTTTTTTCCTTAATTTCAATCACTTTATGGTTTCATAGCAGGTGCTGTGGTCCTCAGCACCAAAGCAGTGATTCATAATGAACAGAGAATTTATGTAAAATAAGAAAATGCCCCAAAAGCATTTGGACCCAAGCAACTGAATGTATTAGCTAGTTGATGCATCTCTCACCAACACATCAAACTGGGCCCCTAGGCTGCCATTCAGCCAGCAGCATCACTTCAGGAGTATACTACCACAGGATCTGGGAAATGGGAACACCTTTTCATCAGTCTGCTGCACAAGAAAACACAGAAAACTGAAAGCAACCCATGGCATAACAAATAAGACTCTCTCAAATGTGTAAGGGTTCATTTACTAGCAATAACTGAGGAAACAGGGACACGATACCTAGAGCCAATTTAAAATAATGTTCACATTTTCAGAATTTCAGTGAAAAGGTTTACTACCATTTTTTTCAGACAGAACTGTACTGATCCAAAATACAGTTTCTCTCACGGATTTTGCTTGATTCTGCCATGTCTATATATAATTGTTCTGGTAATCTCTCAGCTATATGCACCTGAGGTTTTTGTGCTTGGGATCTGCAGCTGCTGGCAAAACAGTTCATCTTATTACAGTTAAGAGAGAGATTTGTGCGGGGGCGTGGAGGGGAGGGCATGTTGCCTTCCACACTTGGTGCATGTCTGCATATTTGCTCTCTCTCCCTTAGCATGCTCCTTCCCAATGGAAAATTCCACTCTGAGGTGCCCTTTTACCAGCAGAAAATTCCACCCCATGATGTGATTTTTTTCTAGCCACATGCTTTCACGCCCACTACACAGACAGCTCCTTGTGGTATATTCAGATCTGCATCCTGGACCTTCAGAGGTTCTGCTGCCCTGCACATTTGGACAGTCTTCTGTAGGGACACACCTCCCTCATGCAGTAGCTTTTCTTGTAGTGCAGTAAATGCATACCACAAATAATCCTATTGCCAATCAGTGATTTTGTCAGGTTCCCAAAAGCACAGTTCTTCATCTCTTTATTTCAGTAACATTCTGAGTTACATACTTTGTCTTGGTGTTTGTCTGCACATGAAAAGATCCGTCTTTCAAGGGTCTCGTTCTTTTTTGTCCTGCTGGTACTCTTCAAATTTGGATAGTAGCACACTTAACTGCATATTTTGTCCCTCTGCATTTGTCTACAAATGTACATTTGTCTACAAATTTACTTCTTGTAAAAATATATAAATGGCCAGGGGTTCCTCCCCTACAATATGCAAGAAGATTGAGAATTGGATTTTGTCATTTTTCTCTTTGGTCCCCCTTACTGCTAGGTACCACTCAAGCCATTGTCTATCCATCCAATTCTCTAGTATTTTGCTTGACAAGAGGAGGGCAGGTGGATGTTGCGAAGCTTCCATGACTGTCCTTTTACTTAAATGTGCAGGCTGATCATTTACAGAGGCCCCTGTTCTTCCACATGCCTATGTTGCTCCATTTGCTCTCAGGTTCCAACTTCTTTCGTCTGGATCTCAAATTCTTTCAGGCTCAGTCTCATTCACAACTTCTGGCATCAGGTACTGATCGCTGGGTACAATGAACAGGCATATGTGGATGAGAAGAACTAAAAAGCAAGTTTTATTTGTGAAGCAATAGACAATCCTCTGATGTCCTTGTGTCTCTCTAACTCTCTAGCTGCTTGTGACGAAGAGGGTTTCACTCAGGCTAGCCGTCACTGACCTCCCATCTGCCTATGGGCATGCCACCCGTCTGTTTTTCCTGCCATGTCTTGCTGGAAATAAGTTGTTAAATAAGGTGGGAGGCTGCCCATTTTCTTTGCACCCTGATATTAGGGGGTGTCTGTGGCTCCGTACCACCCCTACACCGTGACCCAAGCTTCACAGAAGGCATCTCAAGCAGCTGGTTGGACCCTCGCCTTCACCCTATTAGCTGTGGCCTCCAACCATGGGGACCTTTGTCTTACACAAGCCCCGGCCCCATCTCAGGCCCAGTTGGGACCCTGAGCTCCCTCGCTCATTATAGGTGTCCCTCAAGGTGGGCCCCTGGCCCTTTGACCCTTAGGTCCTGGCCCCAGCATGGACCAGTCGAGTCCCTCAGCAGGGTCTTCCCCTCCTGCTTGCATTTATGGAGTGGGTTTCCCCCTATCCCCAGGTCAGGTGCTCCAGGGAGTGTGCCTGGCCCTCTGAGGTCTCTCCCCTTCTGGCTCAGACACTTCCCCAGAGCTTACCTGGCCTGTACTCCTTCCTTTGATCTTACAAAGCACACACCCTGACTGGTGTTCCAGGGCCTCAAGGGGCCTCTCACTCCCCTCCCCCCAGAGCAGCAGGTCATTGTGCTCAGCCTTAGATTTCTACCCACCAGAAGGTGAGGGCTGGGGTTAAGGCACCCCTACTCACCTTTCACCGGGATGATCACTGGCCTGGCATTTCCTGGGGGCTCCCGTGCCACAGAGAGCCCCACCAGGCCACCCACTCCCGGCAGGGTGCAGTTTTAGGTCATGCCCAGGACCAGGAGCCTCCTATCTATCCCCTACA